GCTGCTCTGGCTCCTACCTCAGGGCTTTGTACCTGAGAGATTCCACTCCACCTGCTCTCCAACGGGCTAGGCTCAGTGTCCAGGCTGTCCTAGGACCCCAGATGCCCCCACTGAGCAGCTGACCCTCACTCCACTGGAGCTGCCCGCCTATCTGCTGCTGCAGGCCGACCCCAGGTCTGACCATGTGAGAGCCACCCCAGCAGACAGAGACACACAGGCCTTCAGACACTGGGATCTTCTTCGGGTAAAGAACACACACTTCAGAACACACTTCTCCATGGTGAAGCCCAACCGAGCGGGGCGTGCCCTGCTGTCCACACCACCTCGCCTGGTCTGTCTCAGACGCCCTGCAGGCGTCTGTCATTCACTGGAGCAAGTCCATCTCCACACAGGCACATCGCCCTGGGGCCTCGCGCCTCTGGGGAATCATCCAAGACCAGCAAGCAGTAACAACGCCTCCCCGGCTGCCCGTAGCCCAAGGGCGCCATGCACATGCCTCAGGACATACCCTCCTGTGACCATCCCTGTCTCTCACACACCACCCCCAGCCCATGCACAGCTCCCCCCGGTGTGTCCCTCTGTAGGAACTGGCTGCAGCAGTGTGCACTGTCCCCTGGCAGCCCACAAGTGAGCTGCCCCTGTGGCAAACCAGGGCCCTGAAGGTGCCGGCATGAGTGCACAGCTGGACCCAATCAAAGCATCTGTCCCTTTCAGCCCCCACATCTGGGCACAGAGCTGCCCGCCCCAGCCTGGCCCCCTTCCCCCCAGAACAGACAGCAGCACTGCCTCCCATGAGCCTGGGGGCCCCAGTCCAGCCAGCACAGCCGGGACAAGGCCAGCTCACACCCGCTGCAGTGCTGGAAGGCACTGACGGACGGACCCAGAGGTCTGGAGGCCATGTGACCACATCCAGCTGGCCAGACCGCCCCATTGGCTTCACCATGAGCTGGCAGGCGAAGTCACCATTGGGGGAGGGCCATGGCATTCCCTTCCCCATAGGCAGGCCTCCCCAGCCACACTGCTCCTGAGAGATGCCGGATGACGTTGGAGTGTCTCAGCAGAAGAGACAAGGCCACCTGCCCCCAAGCAGGAGGGGGGAGGGGAGAGAGATGGGAGATAGAGACAAGGAAATCGAGGGAAGCAGCAGAGAAACAGGAATGCTGGCAGGACGGGAGGGAGAGCCAAGACCCACCCAAAGAAACAGGAGAGACAGGGGAAGAGTGTAGGAAAGGAGGGGTAGGCAGGATGGGGACAGAGCAAGTGCTCTTAGCATCCCCAGGTCAGTATTGCAGGAGACCTGCCCTCCCAACACCCCCCACCCCTGTTCCAGGCACACTCACCTGAGACCTCTCCCCGCCGTGGCATGGGCCCCCCATTCCCGCCGGGGACCTTCTGGCTCAGCTGTCCTAACACTGGGCAGCCAGGCCCTTGACTGACCACAGCATCCCTGGGCCCAGCCTCGACATCCTTGGGGCCAGCGGGGCCCTGGGTCGTGACTCATGAGCTGTGAGTCACCGTGGGGCTGGCGGGGAGGCCCAGCCAGAGGCCAGGCGTCAAAAGCAACCGGACACACAGGTTCTCGGGGGCCGGGCACCCAGGGGCCTCTGCCTGGCCTGCAGCTTCCCCCACCCACATGCAGAGCAGCACTCAGCAGATGGAAAGGGCTACTGGCTCTCCCAGAGGTCTCCCAGGTCCTGAACCCAGCCCAGGGATGACACACTGCCTGGACAGCGAGCAAGGGGGAGTGGGGGCAGGGCCAGGAGTGTTGGAACAGCGAACAAGGGGAGGGGGGTGTCCCCCCTGGGCCTGGCCTCTGGCAGTGCATTGCCACTCTAAGTCGTACCAAGTGCCCTTCCTCTCGAACGGTTACGATCCGCAAGGTCCCAAGTCGTGGGAGAGCTAGGGTGGGCCGGCTGCTACTTGCCACGGTCCCGCCCCCTCTCCTGGGCTCCTGGGGCTCCTCAAGAAGACCCACAGAGCCTGTGCCAAGGAGAACAGAGCTCCCCCACGCGAGGATACTGTTCCTACCCACGGCCTCCACCCACCCAGGACTGCACGGTGGGGCTTCCAGCACTCCGGGCCTCCCCCAGAGAGCCACACTCTGATGTGCACCACCCACGTCCAAACGGCCCTCCCTCCTGGGACTCGAATCACGTTCCTTTGAAATGGTCCTTGAGTTCTGGGGGACGAGAGAAGTCTGGTCTGAGGGGGCAGGATGAAGGGGAGGGTTTCCCCACACACGACAGGAGAATGCCCCTCGGCACGACCTTCCTGGTCTTTTCCACACCAACGCGGTCTCCCGTGTTCTCAAAATGTCCTAACGGGCCCTCTGACCACCCATGTTCTTGGGGAGAATCTACCCAGCATCCCCTTCCGGAATCCCACCCAGTCGCCGTGCCTTCTGTGCAGACCCCACGGCCCTCGGGAGCCAGTGTTCATTGGTCCTCTCCCTCCCAGACAGGGGTGGGTACTGCTGAGCACCTGTGGGCAGAGCCCTGCGTGGGCACACTGGGTCTGCAATGAGCCCGTGCCTGCGTGAGCTGGAGCCCCCAGCAGCAAGATTTTTTTACTTTCCTGCTTGTTCTGCCTTAGGGTGGCGGTGACTCCACCCCTGGTCTCGGATTTATTTTGATTCTGGCCTCTTCATCTAGAAAATTCCCAAATGCCCTCCAATTTCTGAACCTGGACTGGGTGGAAACAGCACTGTGTCACCACAGCTGTTTTACGCATCTGCTGAATGGGCATGAGCGGGATGCCCGACGCACACTGGGAGCACAGCTGCCCATCGGGGTGATGCTTGGAACCTAGCAAGAGCCCGCCAATGCCCTGGCCACGGAGGAGTAGGGCTCACGGGAGCCACGTGAGACCCAAAGCAGCCAGGACCTCTCCAAGGACCCTGGGGAGGAGCTGGAGGATGCCAATGGGGAAGGGCACCACCCTAAGACAGCTGGGTTCCAGGGTCCCCAGGGACAGCCAAGGGAAATGTCCGGCAGCCACCTCCCAGCCACCCCAGCTGCCGGACACCCAGCTCTGCACTCTCCCAGCACCCTGGGCTCCCTCTTCAAATGCACCGCTGTCCCACCCCACCCCACCCCTCACTGTTGACTGAACAGCTGGCAGTTATTTCTGAAACCCACTCCTTGTGCGCTGCAGTTCAGGGGGCCGGCAACCTTTCTGCCCCATAAAGGGACTGTGAGCACTATCTTGCTTCTCCCACACCATGCGGTCTCCGTGGCAAGCCCCTGCCCTGCCACTAAGGCAGGAGAGCTGCCACAGCAGGTGCAGGAGGGAGCCTCGGGCGGGGCCATGTGCCAACAAAACTGTAGTCACACAAAAAGCTGGCTGTGGCTCAGACTTAGATGGCCCGCATCTACTCTAACCTTGACAATCCTTCAGTCTTATGGGCGCCAAACACCAGTGTGGAGAACTGCAGGCTGCAGTCCTGGCTACCTTCTTCAAACAAGTGCTGGAATGAACCACCACATGGGCGAATGGTCACCAAGGTGGCCCCCAGAGACTCCAGGCTGTCAATGGCCACTTCTCCCCAGCTCTGCTTTACGACTGGGGTCGGCTGGCAGGGGCAGAGGACCCCAGCGAGGATGTCCCTGCAGCTGCCGCCTGGGAGACAAGGGGAGTCCTCTCACCTGGCTTTTGCCCCGGCGCCGGTAGCTCCGCCTCACCAGGCTCTTGTAGTTCTCGTTCTTCTTGGTCAGGTAGTAATAGAGGACACACTCGGCCACCGTCTGCCGGACAGAGAGGGGACTGTGAGGAGGGAGGGCCAGGCCGGGGGGCTGGCTGGGGAGCCTGGTCTCTCTGTGGCTCAGTATTACAACTGAGAGATGGGGCACTACATGCACACCTGGAGTCCTCAGGACAATGTCCACAGTTACTAGTGACATTACTGCCCATGCCGTTGCTCAGGATGACATCATAGCCAGCCGCCACCTGGGCCCCTGTGGTCTGGGGGGTCTCTGTTCTGTCACCTCAGCTCCCTGGTCCTTCCCATCAGACACCATGAGCAACCACTTCTTGGCTTTGCTCACCAGAAGGGACCCATCCTGTTCTCTCTCTCAGAACATTCCCGTCTTCCCCGGCCCGTCTTCTCCGGTTGCCTCACCATCCAAATGGGACCGGAGGTTACTCGGACGTAACAGAAGGATTTGAGACATTGAGCAAGGCCAACCCTGATGGGCACCACCTCCATCAGCAACCTGGGGGTTCCATGTCTGCTGGGTGTCCCAGACTGACCTGAGACCACCGAAAACTCCCCGAGACACTCTTTAATGCTTTCGTGACCCATGGGACATGCAGCGCCCACCTACATTTCCTATCTTTGGAGTTTAGTGGGGAGCTCCCATCCCACTCTTATCTGCCATCTACTGGGTGCCTGTGTAACTTTCTGGATCTGAAGAAAGGGGCCTCGTCGCATCAACCCCAGCACCAAAGACTCCTCCAGGCAGATGTGTCCCACTAATTAAAACCTCCATTACGGGGTGGGAAGCAACACGCCTTCCCTCATTTCATTCAAAATGCCGTTTCTGAAAAGGTGGCTTCAACAGAAAGATTCCTGGCAGAAACCAATCTGATCTTAAAAGGGTTAAACCTTAAACAGTAACTATCCTGAGATCACCTGTTACAGAAAAGCTGAGTGACACACAAAATAAAGGTTACGACCTGCTTAGGTCACTGCTGCTATCCACCCCTCCTCCACCCCTCGAGCCCTGAGTAGCAATAGCACTAAGCCCAGGGCAAGCCTGAGAAGGCAGGGGGGCAGGGAAACTTGAGTACCGGAAATAGAATGACCAGCTGTGGTCAGAGAGCACACTGCCACACTGAGGCCACCAAACAATCCGTGTGGACATGCCCATGGGAGCCTGGCATGCTGTGTACACGTTCAGAGAAAACCCTAACTGAAAAACTCAAACAAACACCCAGGTGCTGTCAGGCGAGACCCACAATGCTCCAAGGGAGGACTGCACACCGGAGGCCGATGTCTGCATCTCCCTCCCACGAGGACCCGCTCCCTGGCTGGCTCCAGAGCTCTCCTGAGGGCAGCAGCTGCCTGGCCCTCCACAGGACACCAGCAGTCCACGGCCCCTGATGGCACCACCCTTCTCCGAAATCCATCTAAGTCTCTTCCTGGGACTCGGGTTCTCAGTGTGCAGCCACATCTGGGCCACCTGAACAGCGCCCCCTACCTGCCAGGAACAGCAGGAGAGGCGCTCAGGCAGAAGCAGGTATGGCCAGGTATAAGCCAGGCCTGTCTCTCCCCCCCACAGTGATTACCACCAAGCAAACCAGAAGCAGGTGTTGGGAAGGGCCCCCCAAGATCCTATTCCCTGCCTCCTCCGGCAAAGGGGTGAACCTGGGTGTCATTCCACCTTTCAGAAACCTGACTCAAATATACTCACAAGCGATATAGGTATTTGCTTGGCTTGCTGGCTCTAGAAGACTCACTGTGCACCTGTGACTCGGCCCCAGCCCCCCCGCTTCCACCTCAGGGGGGCACAGGGTACACGCAGCCTAGGCAGAGAGCAAACGGGTACCACTCCGCCCTGGGGGACAACTGTCTGTCTGATGGGTAGAATGAAGTGGAGTCTGCCTGTACACCTGGGCTCCGGTCTGAGGTCAGGCAGGGTTAGCAGCACTTCCCGATGACAGCCACACACCAGGTGTGGGGTCACATCCTGCCAAGAGGGACCTGGACGGGGTGTCCACCCGGCCAAGTCCAAGCCCGGCAAGGCAAGCCCCGCCCCTAGAGGACCTGCGCCCGTGTGGGCGGGGCCTCGGTCAAGCCCCGCCCCTGGAGGACCTACGCGTGGGCGGGCGGGGCCAGCCCTGCGTGCACTTGCGTCAGGGTGGGGCCTGCTGCGCGGCTGGTTCCCTGATCGACAGACGGACAGAGAGGAGGCAGAGCCCACAGCCGGAGCGAGGCCAGGGCTGGCGAGGCGGAGAAGGGGAGGGTCCCAGTGGGGGCCAAGGGCGGGCCCCACTCACCTTCCGCTCCAGGAATGAGGCGATCAGGCCGAAGTTCTTGGGGTGCTGCATGAACCTGTGGATGGACGGGGACGGGCATGAGGCCGGGCCGAGGGGGCCGTGTGCGCGGGCAACTGCCACCGCTGCCCTGGTGGGCACCGCCCATCGGAGCAATTAAACCAGGGGGGGAGGCGTGGGAAGAGGTGGGTGGGGTGGAGGGCAGGGAGGGCGTTCCTGGGAGTGAGTCAGCTGCAGCGCCTTTGAAAATGGATTTGTTTGTCCTGCCTGAGGCGGCTTCCAACAAAAAAAACAAAAAAAACGAGGACATTCCAGGGAGCTCTCCGGAGGGTCCCCCTTCCAGGATCAGGCTTTGTTTTTTTCCCAGCAGCCTCGGGCTGGGCCTGGGAAGCAGAGCCTTGCCTCTCCCCCAGGCCTGCGCCGTGGGGGTACACCAGCGGGGCCCCGGCCTTCCCCCTCCCCCAGGTGGGACTGAGGGAGGGGCGGAGGGGCAGCAGAGTGAAGCCCGAGGCCGTGGCGCGAGCCAGAGCTGTGCCAGCGGCTCCCGGGAAGCCAAGGATTACCGGAAACGGAGAGCTTCGTTCTACGTCAGGGCCCGTCCGCCTGTGTGCTGGCAGATCACTGGCCTCAGTCCAGCCTGCCGCCCTCTCTCTCCACAGCCAGGCTCCCAGCGAAGAGACTGGGCCAGTGCCCACGCCCAGCCCACCAGATGGCTGGGCAGCAGTCTGCAGGCCCCTGCCCTACACACACACCCCCTAGACCTGAGGAGTCCGGAACATTCTCTTCTCTCCAGAGGAAGAGGGTGTGTGTGTGGGTGGGGTGGCTGGCCTTCCCCGTCGGGAATCCTGCCTGGACAGCTGACCACGCTGAAAGTCCTCCTTCCCAGAAACAGAAAAACCCTTCCTTCCCTCTGTGTTCCAGATAGAAAGGGGCCAATGTTGGGACTCACCTGCCACCACCCCAACCCTCACCTACACCCCCAGGCTGGACAGCCTTGTCTGAAAACCTCGCTGTGGCCCACAAGCAAGGGGAAGCCGCAGGAACCGTGCTGTGGTGGGGTGCGGTGCGAGGGTCCGAGGAGTGATCCACACTCTCCTTGTGACCTTAGGAACAACAGACCAAACAGCCCGGTCCTGCACCATCCTCTGGTACTTGTGCCCTTGGTCTGGATCACTTACCAGCTGTGTGTGTGTGTGTGCGTGCCACTCTCTAAAATGTGCTGCTGTGGTTACTACATGTGCTTACCAGCAGCTTAGAGAGGGTGGGCCTGTCTGCCACTGCCACCCGGCTCTCACAAGAGGTTATCCTTGGAAGACACTGGGTACTCACACAGGGCTGCAACCAGCCCAGGACACCAGCTCAGCTACTGAATCCAGGGTGTCACATCACTAGGTCTGAACCAGAAAGCTCTGGGAGCCACAGAAAGCATTCCGGGGGGGTCGGGGGTACCTACAGTCACCCCGAGAGTCTACAAAAACATTCCCCATAGAACTCTATTCCAGGGCAATCACATCTGCTTCCCACTACCTTCCAAGGCGGGTGTGCATGCGACACAGCCGGTCATGCTCCAGACGCACCCCCCCCACACACACCTTTGGCGGTGCTGAGCACCTCCATCCGCATGAGGCCATGCTGGGCTAGGCGGGGACCCCCCACTCCCTGTGGGTGGCATCCTCACCAAAGGGGGCAGACAGATGACATGCATACAGTAATGCACTGTCAGCTCTGAGCAGGCACCCCTCAAAGGCAGGGCTACAGCGGGATGTCCCACCCCTCCCATAAGACTTCTGGGCCACCCTCACCACAGGAGGGCCAGAGGCAGCCTGGCTCCTGGGTTTTTTGGTCCCCACAAGTGACGTCTAGAAAACGCCTTCTGAGGGGAGGTGGGTGGGCCTGCAACAAGCAGGATCCCACAAGCCCTCAGTTCTCTGCCCCCCCTTCCCCACAGGGCTCTCTGTGATCAGAGGAGGGCTGCCCCCACGGCAGTCATGGCTGCTCACCTGTCTGCAACGGAGAGGGAGCCCTGGCGGGAGCAGCTTTTAGAGCCCACCTGCCCTGTGGGTGTAGCTGTGACACAGGGAGGTAGGCCACACGGTGGGCAGGCTTTCATCAGAAAACCCCGACTGAGGCAGACCGAGGAGAAAGGCCTGTGACTGACTTGCAGACAGCAGGTGGTAAAAGCCCGGGGTTAATTTTGACAGTAAAAATGGAAATATAATCAGGGGCTTGGTCAATTCTGCCACCCCGCTGGGTCCAACACAGGCCATCTGAGAAGCAGGAAAGGGTTTCTCCGCACCATTGTGAAGACGAGCCGGGGTGGAGTGTGTCCTGTGGGCTCCTCGACCCCTGCTCAGTGGACTTCCTCCATCAACTGACAGAAAGTTGTGACCCCGAGATGCTTCAGGGTGGTGGCCAAGGAGTGGCAGCAGAACCAGGAGCCAGGGCTCCAGGTACCAGCAGTGGGGGAGAGAGCAAAGCTGAGCCCTTCGGCTTAGTGGAGTGGGGTGGCCCCAGGCACTTAATTGGTGAGCTAGGTTGGCTGACCTAACAAACTACAGCCAAGTGCCTGTAGGCACCAGCGGACGCTGGAGTGGCCTGTGGGTGTTTATCACCAGCGATAAGGGGTCTGTCACACTGGCCGAGCCGGGCAGACAAAGGTCCATGTGCAGGCCCAGCTGGGAAAAGGCTGCCTGAACCAAGAACTACGACCTGAACGTTTCTGATCCTGATTTCTAACCTGTTCACATCCCTGGAAAAGTCGTGAGTGTGGTCCGTGAGTTGGGTGTGACCACGGTGGTGAGGTACCAAACACAGTAGGAAAAGGACAAAGGGCCTTGGAGACGGACGGATGCTTGGTGTCAGAATGTTGGGACTGTGGAAGCATGTCTGTTCTCCAGCTCAGAGGACGGGTCTGTGGATGTGGGTGGTCCTCCCCCCCTGTAAGGTCAGAGGCCATCAGACGCCAGCCCTGACAGCCTCCCTGTACTACACCTTTCTAGAGTAAACAGAAAGGACAAAGAAATCAAAGAGGCACAGAACTACCCAAAGGAGTAACAAACCATGCAGTGTTCAGCTCCCAGGGTGCTCAGCTGGGAGAAGTAGATGTACCCATCTACTCCTGCTGACTGCTCTGAAAGGGATCACATTGGGAAGTCATGGACGGAGTAGGAGGGGGAAAAAAGTGACCAAAACTGAACAGCAGGAAGAAAGACAAACCCCGGCCTACTCGTCTGATAGGAACTGTGGTACTCTCGACTAAGTCGTCCTTCAGGCCTGAAACCCCACAGCTCAACTTCCAGCCAAACGGTGGTCTTAAAGGGTTACAAAGATTAATTCACTACCCTGCTAAGGCTCCCTGTCACCCAAATCAAGCTAAAAAAAAAACCCCCAAAACCTCACTGCCATGAAGTTGATGCCAACGCAGTGACCCTATAGGATCACTGTGAGTTTCTGAGGCTGTTGTCAACTCTCTATGGGAGGAGGAAGCCCGTCTTTCTCCCACAGAGCTGCTGGTGATTGTGAATGGCACACCTTGCGGGTAGCAGGCCAATGCAAAACCACCACACCACTGGGGCTTCTTCCTTCCACCCAAGCCACGATTAAAAGTGACTGAAAAATACAAAAGAATATTCTGGATCATGCAGAGCGTGTGTGAGGGAGTGCTGGCAGGTGAGCCCCTAGACTGGGGGAGCACACACAGGGGCTGCAGCTTGGAGCAGACACAACTTGTTGCACAGGGTGTAGGGCCGGCGGCCGCATCTGTTAGCTGCAGATTCAACTCGCTGGCAGCTAGTGATCCGTCTCCTCAGGGGACCCCCGACTATGGAGGGAGGGGCCTCTCTTGCCTGGACATCAGAGCTCTGGGGGAGGGGCTCTGTTACAGCACAGCTGTCCACCAGACGCACTGATTGTCCCCCTGCTCACTCAGGAGCTGTCCTTGCTGCATGGCTACCCCACCGCCACCGCCACCAGCCTGCCATCAACACCCTTCCCCACCCACCACCGGTGAGGTCTAAACCTTGCACACTGTGGGGGCTTGGTGAAGTCTCTACACCTCTCTGCACCCCCACAGGTGGGGACAACCTGACTGGCTATTGTCAGGGGACAAGAGGTGCATAGGACACAGACAGGGTCTGGGGGTGGGCCACAGGCAGCTCCCAGCTGCTTTCAGAGTAAGATGAAGCCCCCAAGGCATCAGGCTCCCGCCCCTGCCCGAAGTGCAGCCCCCAAAGGCGTCTCCTCTGACACCCTCGGGGCCTTGTTGTCCAATGGTGCCTGTGGACCTCCAACCCAGGGCAGGGGCGCTCAGTGCTTGCCCGCTCGCCTACACCGGGGAGGCCCGGGCCCCATTCCCACTGGCGGGGCCAGGGTGCCTAGTGCAGTCAGCCTTCTCAGGCGAAGGGAGACCAGGAAGAAAGGGCTGGCAATCTCTGCTGACCATCAGCCAGCAAACACCCTGGACTCCCGCGGGTCCAACGCCAGGACTCACTTCTCGCGGAAGGTCTCCTTCTCCTGTTCGCTCCACATGTTCATCACCTGCCGGTCCTTGTACACCTTCATGGGGTCGCCCATGAGCCCGTTCATGTTGATGAACTTGATGCGCTGCTGGTCGGCGTCGTACAGCATGGGCGGGACCACGGCCAGCTGCCGCATCTGCTTCTCCAGGTTCTGGGGGCGCAGGGAAGGTGGGGCCCGGGGTGAGCGGGGCACAGGGAGGATGGGGGCAGGAGCTGGCAGCACGTGGAAGCCTGAACAGGCAGCCCATCTGTAACAGGAGGGCAGCCAGGCACCTTCCCCTGGACGCGAGCACATGACCCACTGCAGGCAAAGCTGGGTGTTTTGAGGGTCAGAGCGAAGGCCTCAGAGAGCAGCTGCCCGGGACATGCAAAGGCATGGCTGGTGGTGGCAGTGGGAGGAGACACACACAGACCATAGCCACTGCCCGCTGGCACCCGGGGAAGAGCTGCCCTCTAGGTACTGTGCCTCCTGCCAGGCCCTGTCCAAGCTGGGCAGGCTGCATGCTCAGGCTTCCCGGCTTCACTGAGAGGCTCCCTCCCTAGATGTCTGCATGGTCACGAGGCTGGGTGAGGCCAGGGCTCAGCCGGGTCAAAGTCAGCCAGCTCCAAACCTGGCTGCCACCCGCCAGGGGGTGAGGGGAGCCCCAGATGACACCCCTAGCTCCCACAACTGGGAGCAGTCTTGGAATCCCAGGCCTCCCTGCCCGGCCACCCTGGCTCACTCCCACCCTACCCGAACCCCTCTGCCACCCATACACTCGAGGGTGACCTCTCAAGTCAGCCTCCTGGGGCTGAGGTCACATTTGACTCCCTTCCCCACCTCACTACACCAGGGAAGTGGGCCTCTGGCCCGGGCTGGGGTGGGGGATGGGGTGGGTGGGATGGAGCAGGAGTGTGGGGGAAGGAGACAGCAATGACACCTCTGGGGTGCACTCACCTCCTGCTCAGACAGACCGTCGATGATTTCTGACACCTCATGCTCACTCCGGGCCGCCGCCATGGAAAGCCCGCCGCCGCGCTGGCCCACCCTGCTGGAGAGCCAGAGGGACCCACTCAGGACCACCTCCCAAGCCACGTCCACGTGGTCACTCGGACCTAGGGCCAGGTGTCTCTGTGCCTGGGTGCCTGCCCAGGTGAGCAGGGTCCACGGTTCCCGGGCTAGTGTGAGGACCGAGACGTGCCTGGTGTGCGAAACAAGCCTGGTGACAGGCAGGAGAGGAGCCAGCTCAGGGGGAGGGGCAGGTGATGTGCTCTGCGGAGACCTCCAGCAGTGGGCAGGGGACCAGCTCCGGCGTGCACCGAGCACTTACTGTGAGCCAAGCTCCGTACGGGGCTCAGCTAGGTCGTTGGCCCCCGGGAGCTCAGCTCCCCAGTAAGGTGGCCTCAGTGCTGGGCTGGGCATCTCAAAGCCAAGGCCCCGGGGTTCCACCAGAGAGCACTCACGTTTCAAACAACCAAATCAAGCAGGGCCTAGCCACCAGTGTGAGCCCCTGCGGCTGGTCCGCGGCCCCTGGGCTCACCTCTGCATGCGCTCCTGCAGCTCCCGCTGCTTGCGTATCTCGGGGAACTGCTTCTCGTAGTACTCGCGCACCTTGCTCTCCTTGGCGCGCCGCCGAGGGTTGTTCTCGATGCGCTCTACCTTCTTCTCCCAGGCCTCCATGAGCTGGTCATAGCGCTGGCAGAACTTCTGCTCCTGCGGCAGCGGGCAAGGGGCCCTGAGCCAGCTTCCACATCCGCCTGCCAGCTTGGCACCTGCATGCATACACTCACAGTCTCTCTCTCTCACACACTCACATGTTCACACCAACTCACGCTGATACACACACGCACGCTCTCTCATTTCCTCTTGCACATGCAATCACATTCCTACACTCACATCAGCACATTCTGACACTGACATGAACACACACTCAATCTGAACCCACACTCATTCATTCAGACACACCCACCTCCCCACATCGGCACGGACACTTGGACACACATGCACACACTCAATCTGCAGTCCTGTACCTCAACACTCCTGCTCGGTCCCTCAGTCACATGCACTTGGATGCTCACACGTATGCTTACGTCCCAGTCTCTCTTTCTGTCACGCACACACACACCTTCACTCACGCATACTTATACCTTCCAACCCATAGTGAGTCTCTCTCTTACACACACGTAGGCAGGCACAGGCCTACAAGCGGACGCAGTGGGCACGAGAGGCCCCTGGCAGTGTCCCCCGCCCAGGGTCCTGGCTACCTCCACAGGGGAACCTGGGGCCTAGCCAGGCCTCCCTCCAACCCTCCATGACACCTTCTCTGAGCCAGACACCCTCAGCCGCAGGTGGTGGTCTACACGGCCACACTGCCCTTGCTCAGGAGCCAGCGCAAGCGGCCACTGCCGCTGGCTGGTGTGGAGAAAGCTGCTCGGAGCACAGCTCCAGGCCCGTCACCCATCCCTGGGGAAGCATCCTGCTCCTCAGCCCCCATAAAGCCCTGACAGCAAGCAGCTGCTCCTGAGGAGGAGGTCCCGCCACCTGTCCAAAACCAGGAAGTCCCCCTCCACGTCTAGCCGCAGTCCCGCCTGCTGCAGCCTGCAACTGCCTCCTCATACACGAGACTCTGCCCAGCAGCCTCGCACTGTCTGGCCTCTGTGTCTCCACGGTGACGTGGGCCTCGGGTAGGCGGAGGCCGTCTGGCTGGGCAGGCGAGCAGCTGCTGGTGGACAGATGGCATGCTCCCAGTCTCGCCTGAACGCCCGCTCAGCACTCGGGCGCAGTCAGAAAAGCCCCGACCTCCACACCGGAAGCTGCTGGGCCTCTGCTTCACTGTGACCTTGTCCTCAGCAGACCCAGCAGGCCAGGGTCAGAAGACACCCCGCCACCCTGCTCTCCTCCTAACCCGTCCCTCATTCTGGGGTCTGGGGTCTGGAGCTGGGCGCCCTCTGCCCGGAGGCTCTGCTCACAACCTGGCACTCACAGGGACCTGGCTGCCGACGGGGGCCGGTGGGGGTGGAGGGCGGCTCACCCATTGTTTCCGAGCGTGGTTCCTCCTCTTGAAGTACAGGATCAGCTTTTTCCGCATTGCCTGGTTTCTGCAGGGGAGGGGCAACCAG